TGTGTCTTGTCTTACTGATTCTGCTTACTTACTTACTGATGTCTTACTGGTCATAACACTCAAGTAGTTTTTAAGCCTTCTATAGCTGTTATGACACCTCTAACAGCATCAGAGGCTTTGCTCGCCATCATCAGCAAGATTTTAATTTAAAACTGATTACAGTGAATGAAAGTGCAGAGCATCCTACAAGAAGTCTCTTGCCATAATGGCACTATCCACAAAGAAGCAAGGAAAAAGGTTATGTTTTAAAGCCTTCTACACTGCACAATTAGTTTCTTGCTATCCCGAAGACCTTGATTAGTTGGTTCAGGTGTTTTTTAAGCCATCTACACGCTGCATGATTTTAGCAATCCTATAAGATCATTGCAAATCACACTGTGCGACATGGATCTGATAAACTTGGGTACGACATGTATTGTCCGTCGTACTGACTGTACGATGATGACACCTATTGTCTCGTTGACTACGTTACTATAGAAGAATAAAACGTTGCAATCTACACGCAAATCAGCATCAGCAGATCTCCAGGAACAGGACAGGACACTCGTGTATTAAAACAATACACTGTGTGCTTCTCCATTCTTATTTGTGCATCCTTGTTTCCTTTCCTCGCGTCTTAGCTCCACCCCTTCAGGATGCTGAATGCAAGGAAAAGGACGCAAGGAAAAGATGCGAGGATGGAGGAATTGAATCAAGTGAAATTATATATCCTCGCTCCCTTTAGCGTCACTTCAAAGTGTCATCAACTGCGCTAAAGGAATCTGCCCTTATGTTGTTAAAGTTTGTTATTTAAGACATTCATAATAAATATTAATAAAGCAAGATGCCCTGTTTGAAATATATGACATGCATGGTTTATTTAAACTGCAAAGGTAAAATATAAATCAAAATTATTATAACAGATGTGAAGGGGAGGAGAATTTATATGTGCCTCAGGTTTTTCGATGAAAAACACTTTCACAAAGGATACACCTTTGTATCCTCCCTCAAAGCTCCTCTGGAAGCTTTCTCACTCCTCGATCCTCACGGTGCAATTAGAGAATTGAGATGTCCCACAAGATGGCTGAGCTCGATCGGTTTCTGAGTCATAGGATGGAGGACGGAGGAGTGAGGAAACGAGGAGGGATATTGAGAAGCACCCATTAACAAAACAATTACAATTACAATAAACACATTTAAAATTATAATAATAATAATGTTAAGGACGTATTGAGAATTAAATCAAATATATGCAGTTATAGCTTCTACAAGTCTAAAGCTGTAAACACTACATGCCCCCTTAACTTGTGTAAGTAAATTAAAGTGCTTGACAGAGAGTGAAAATGAGGATGGAAGTGATTTTTACAAGTATTTGTTCTCTTCTTTTTTTTTCAAATAATCTGAAAATGCATTTCATTACCCCCTTTATTATACATTTATATAAATTATTTATATTGTTGTATCCTGTGTTATATTGATTATGACCCTATGGTTTGTGTTTTGTTATATTTGTGTTGTTGTTGTTGTTGTGTGTGTGTGTGTGTGTGTGTCTGTCTGTCTGTCTAGGAACATCGTCTGATTGGTTCCTGCAGGCTGATTGATGCTATGTCCTGATTGGTACACAGCACTTTATAAACCATGTCATCACTTCCTCTGGAGCAATCTTGGCATCCGAGAGCGCAGGCTGTTAACTTGTTGCCTCGCTGTCATATCAGGCAATGACTTTGCAGGCAGCATTTGTGCACAAAGTCACTTCACAAAACTGATTTCGGACATGTTTCTGAGGCAGATGATCTAAAACAACATAGTTTAGCTTTGGTGATAACTAAGTGAATATTTAAGTACTATGATACTGATTTCCAGCTAAAAATAACATCAAAAGTGCAAAAAGTAAGAAACATACATTTACACACAAACTGATCACCAAGCGCAACTTTCAGATGCCATCTTTATTTTTTTTTAGCTTAACCATCACAGAATGGAACGCACAGGATTGTGGGATATCAAAAGCAGCAGAGGATACATCTATGCTGCCTTCAAAAATCGATCAGATGAAGAGGTATCTCAGGAGACAGGAAGTGAAGCTGACATTGAATTCGGACGTGCCTTGATGCCTTCCAACCTTGGAATGCGTCTTCCCAAGGCAGCATTTTTCAGCTTTTGGACGCAGCCCTTGTGTTCTGAGCTGAGTTTGATAGTATAGTGTTTGTATTTGTATTTGTATAGTTGTGTATTTGACCCCTTTGTCTGTTTTCTGACACTGATTTTGGACTGCCCTTTCAAATTGGTTGGGTTGGCTTTGTAAATAGTTTTGTAAATATTGAGAATTGGGATAGTAAGGAGTGTCATGCCATAAGCCTGTTGCACGAAGTTGGTTTTGGTTTTTACCCAGGTAAGTTTGTGTTTTTATTTGACCCATTTCTGAGTATTTTTGTTAAGTTGATCCAAAAGGCCATTTGCAGGTTAAACTTATGAATATTTAGTGGTATTTCACCCATCTCTACCTGCATTAAAACCCTGAAAAGAGGGCAGTACTGAGGTGAGATAAACCGTGCCTCGGCAACGGCGGGACCGAGACAATAGTGCAAAAGTCAGAATATGCCCTCAAGTATTAGAGTCCAAACACGGAGGCACACACTCCCTAAAGCACTGCTCGACTCACCAGGATAATGCTTCGCACACACTGAACAAACAGACGGCTCCTGAAGACAACAAAAGTTGGTGATGTGTTCTGCAGGTGCCCTCTTATACTACCAGGTGCCCGTCTGTGACTTCACGAGCTACGTTGGCCGATAGGATTGGAGTTGTTTCACATGTGCTTCAGATACCGGTCCTGCTGGCGGCAGTCCCCATAGTGTCCGCATAGATGTATCTAACCCAGTGTATGGGGTTATATGGTGATGGCGATGGCGCCGACGCTGATGGCTGCCTCCGTGGCGTGCTCCGCACACACTATTTATTCACTCATAGACTTATTTATCTAACACACATACTCAGTCTACATTTCAATTTGCACATAATATACCTGTACATACAACTGTCTATTGTTATATACCTGTACATACAATTGTCGATTTGTATATTTTTTATTCCTTATTTTACTTGTTCTATTTTTTTTATTATCTGTGTTTTTTGTTCTGTCACTGTCATTCTGTTACACTGTGGAAGCTTCTGTCACGAAAACAAATTCCTCATATGTGTAAACATACCTGGCAATAAAGCTCATTCTGATTCTGATTCTGATATAGTTGAACAAACCAATATACAGTATACTTGAGCCAACGATACACCTAACCAATATATAGTTGAACAAACCAATATATACCTGAGATAACCAATGTATCTAAACCAATATATAGTTGAACAAACCAATATATACTTGAGATAACCAATATATCTAAACTAGAAATGCACCGGTGGATCCACTGTAATACAATAATAAGTCTCTTCCACTGTAATACAAGTAATAGCACAAAATACACATGAATGAACATAAAAAGGTATGTTGAAAGATACAGTACAACTTACCGACATGTATCACATCTCATGTAATCACTCATTCAGCATTTCAGCCGCGGAAAGATGCCAATAAAACAGCTTACGAACAATGCCGCTTAGCATTGCATTTATCTCAGCAAGGTTATCCAATGTTCACAGTTCATTAGTTAGCTACAAAAAAACTAAAGGGGAGCTCATTTACATTTAATTATGTATGTTTGAATAAATCTGGCATGATGACAATTGTTTATGAAAACATTATGTGCAACTGAGTTGTATATAGACAATTCAGTTTTTATTTGAGTGTAATTATTATATCTGAAAATAAATAGCAGTTGTATATAATAGCTCTGTTATAAATTTTAGCCTTAAATATAACAGTAATGCACCAAATGAGAGGGTTCCCAGTATAGTTTACAGCATTAGTTAGGAGAGTTTTTTCCTTAAGAAAATCGAACTATCGGTATCGGTATCGGCAGATATCATCCTGAATAATTGCTATCCGTATCGGTGGAGAAATTCAGTATCGGTGCATCTCTAATCTAAACTAATATATAGTTGAGCCAACTGATGTATCTAAACCAAAATCTACTCGAGTCAACCGATGTATCTAAACCAATATATATGTGAACAAACAAATATATAGTTAATCAAACCAATCTATAATTGAACAGAGCAATGTATACTTGATGAGACCAATATATGCTTGAGCCAACCAGTGCACCTAAACCAATACATAGTTGAGGAAACCAGTGTTGACTTGAACAAACCAGTGTATTAAGCAGCAAACCCATGTGTGCTTGATCAAACCAATGTATCTAAACCAGTATATGTCTGGTTATTCCAATGTATTATAAACCAATGCATTTGCCATTAAACCATACTTTCAACCAGTGAACCAATCCATATTCACGTAATAATACAAATGTATTATTTCCTGAACGGCTTCCCATAGTTTGCTGCACACGTCACACTTTCAGGTGCACACACTCTAGAGTTAATCACAAACTCTAGATCAAACCCTGAGTTGACAGCGAATATTTATATCGAGCATTGTGAGCCCACTGAACCTCATCTAGCCTAAACTAGATTGGATTTGTTTGGTGAATAGTAAGCAGTAAAGTAACCACCAACGAGCATATATAATGAATAGAAACCAAAGAAAACCTACAGACAACATAAAGTAAAGAGAATTTAAGAGAGCTAACAGAATCTAAGGTGTTAGAAATTAAACAAATGGCATGGTTATCTGAACAATGACAGCTAACCTGTGTCATCATCAGACTGTTAAATCGAAAGTCAGCCTGCTGGGTTATTTTGTAGTAAAACAGTTGTTTACACTGCCACATTGTAAGTTTGTTTGTGTGTAAATTAACTCTCTACTTATTAAATGCTTCAGTATGCACTATAGACCTATAATTAAATGTGTCCATTTCTTACAAGTCAAAACAATAAACAGAAAATGCACTTTACATTAGCAGTGATTACTAGAACTTTGCAGCAGTAAATGTTGAGTTACTGACCAATGCAGAGCGCTGGTGGTAGGCCAATGCACAGCAGGTATTGCAGCACCATGAAACTTGCAATGAAGCAGCAGTATTTTAGCCACACTTCTCCTATGGCCTTTCTACGACGTTGTGCCAGAACAGCCATTAGAGCAAAAGAGTGCAGAAGTGCACAGACATCCATCCGCTGGCCAATGACATTTACTGCTACCACAAAACACATCTGATACAGAAAAGAGAGTGGAAAATGTAGCACATTCATTTCAAAGCTGATGCTAGTTTGAAAACTTATCACCATCTGATTTGCATTCTCAGCAAAAGCTCAAACAATAAATATTGAATCATTATTTTGCTTTAAAAAATGCAAAAATAATTGTGGTAATGCTTCATAGAGTATAGAGTAACACAGCAACAAAACAGTTTTAATAGTTCTTATAATTTTATGTTTTTGCCATTTTTATTTTAATTTAACAATAGTGAACAGAAACAAAAGTAATGCTGGTTTCAACTAAATGTTAAAAAAAATACATAGATGTTAATGTAATGGCATATACAGACTTTCAAGATTTCAAATTTGTTTTTGTTTTTTAGAATTAAGTCCTATCTTTCTTTAGAAGCAAGAAGGGGATCGGTAGCTGTTACTTTCTTGTTAGAGTTGGATTATTATGATATTATCTATATTCAGGCGCCTAAGCATTGTTTACAGGTTTCGGAATCTGTTTATCATGGAGCATTAAAGGTGCAATAGGAGATCTTGGAAAATGCTAACTTTAGCCTGATCGCACTGAAAGCGAACGTCCCACCCTCCCTGCAATCGCCGTCCAAAACCACGCCCCCTGAACGCATTTATGCTCACAGACCAGAGGGAAAATGCTAACTTTAGCCTGATAGCACTGAAAGTGTACGTCCCTCCCTGCAAATCGCCATCCAAAGCCACGCCTCATGAACGCGCACAGACCAGACGACTATAGACAACATAACTACCGGTGTCATTCACCGGTGAAAAAAACTTTATAGTACAGTTAACGTTAGTAACAGTACTACAGTACCAGGAAGGAAGGTCAGGTTGTTGATGTTTGCCTGCCATTCTCGCTCTGTCAGCATAGCGTACGTGAACGTGCTGATGACGTGTCCTGTCTGCACGAACCGGGTGCGCAGAGGTATGCAAATACATACGTTGACAGGCAGGTAGGAAAGCATATTAAAACGCTCGAACCGAGCATTTTGATTGCACGAACATTTCTTGATCCTACGCCTTCCACAGAATATATAAATACAGACAAATACATTTAGACCACTTAACTTAATGCTTGCTATCGGGATGTGAAGAGACTTTCAACCAGCATAATAATAAATGTTTCTGAAGACAATCACCTATTGCACCTTTAAGGTTTATTGCGAATTCAAAAGCCCTTACCCATCATTGTCTGCTGTACTCTCGGGCTGAATGGCCCACATTATCATCACAGACTCAAGCACTGGCACATATTTATATATAAAATTAGGACCCACTTTATATTAAGTGGCCTTAACAACTATGTACTTACATTTAAATTAATAATTTGGTACAATGCACTTATTGTGTACATACATGTTTTTACATTGTACTTATATTTTTAAAATACCTGCATGTAATTACATCTGTAATTAATTTCTGTAATTACATTTATAATTACACAGTTGACCCATCCCTTACACCTTAACCCACCCTTAAACCTACCCATACCACCAAACCTGTCCCTAACCTTACCCGCATCCCACCTCAATAGCAGAAAAAGTGTTTTGCAATACAATATGAACACAATAAGTACATTGTACTTAATTTTTGATGTAAGTACATAGTAGTTAAGGCCACTTAATATAAAGTGGGTCCTAAAATTATTCTGGGTTTGCTTCTCTCTTATTTAGCACTATATCACTCAAAAATGTGTAAAGAATTCTTCGTTCACAAGATTATTATCTTTTAAATATCCAGAAAGTCTGTACAAATAGGTAAAAGGGCATTTAGTTATGCTATTTCATTTGATTGGAACCAGTGATAAGATCAATTATGCTTGAAAGAGTTGGTTTCTCTAATGAATGTAAGTATATTTTAAATGATTTGGTTAGGATTTACCCGATTATAATTGTTTTGATTGAAATGTGTACATTTTCTGTATATGTGAATTTTTATAAGTGAAGTTTTACTTTTAAATGTTTTCATGTTTAACTAAGTATGCTGCCTGTCTTTGCCAGGAACCTCTTCTAAAATATTTTTTTAATTTAATGAGCTTCATTTCCTGGTAAAAATAAATAAATAAATAAAAAATATACCAACTTCGCTCACCTCCAGACCAAATTTGTAGAAGAAGTAGTTAGCAAAATATTTGAGGGAGGCCATAATGCCATGGTCTAGATGCTGGTGTGTCACACCCTGAAATATGGTTCTGCTGTGTGTTGCTTTAAGGCCATTTTGAAGATGGTGATGGAGCTGGTGCCGATGGACAGTCACATCAAACACAAGGAGACCTAAAATTAACAGGTGATTCTACCCACATGGAATCACCAATAAACAAACAAACAAACAAATAAATAGATAGATACCCCAATCAAACACACCTGAACCAGCTAATTGAAGTGTGCAGGGTTAAGGATGGAATGCACTACACCAGGGATTTTCAAACCTGTCCTAGGCTACGTCCACACGAAGCCAGAGCTTTCCCTATCGTCTCAAGAAATATCTGCGTCCACACGAAACCACAAAACCGACACAAAATGATGTAGTACACATGCGAGACCAGTATGTGGCGCTGTAATTCTGCCACAGAGATACACTAAAAACGGAGAAGAAGACTTGGACTATGCGCATAAACCTTGCGCGCGGTATACAAACGAACATCGAACAATACATCTTTCCCTATCCGATATTTTTCCCCCCCTCATCTCAAGAAATATCTGCGTCCACACCGACACCGACACAAAACGATGTAGTATACATGCCAGACCAGTATGTGGTGCTGTAATTCTGCCACAGAGATACACTAAAAACGGAGAAGAAGACTTGGACTATGCGCATAAACCTTGCGCGCGGTATACAAACGAACATCGAACAATACATTTATTAATCTGTGTTAATGTTAGTTAATAAAAAGACAATCGTTCAGTGTTTGTTAATGTTTTTGTTGCTGTTACGTGACGTAGCGGTGTCTGATTCGGATCGAGACGTGGGCTGATCACGTCATCGTTTCAGAAAATATACAGATTCGCTGTCCACACGAAAACGCAAGGGTGGCGTTTTCAGATTTATCCACTCTGGGACCTGGTTTAAAAAAATAACGGTTTCACTCTCCCAAAACGCCGGATCCGTGTGGACGAAATGCCTATACGATACAAAATGTATGCGTATACAGCTAAACGCATCTCCGTGTGGACGGGGCCCTAGAGGACCTCCAGCACTGCACATTTTGTATATCTCCCTCATCTAACACACCTGATTCCATTCATCAGCTCGTTAGTAGACTGCAAGACCTGAATTGGGTGTGTCTTATGTAGACATACAAAATGTGCAGTGCTGGGGGTCCTCCAGGACAGGTTTGAAAACATCTGCACTACTGTACATGACAAACACTAGGCATCATACACTTGCTGACTTTGTAAATGGTCACAGTAGAAAGACTGTCCATCATATTATACACTACCAGGAGAATTATACACTACCAGACCTTCAAGCTGTTTTGATCACAACAAACTCATGCAGAAACAAATGCCTTGTTGCTAGGAGACACATGACAAATAAAAACAATATAAGTCTTATAAAATCGGCTTAAAATATCAAACATGTTTGATGTCCTCCAACTGGATGGAATAATAGTCTAAGCTTAAAAAAAAAAAAAGATTGTAAATCAGTGCAATAATCTGGGCAAAAGTTGTATAGTGTATTCCAGACTTTACATGAAAATTACAGGCAAGTGTTCTGTAGCAGGTTTGGAACTGCTAGCAAGGTAGAGCAGTGGTTCCCAACCACATTCACGGAGGCCCCCCAACACTGCACATTTTTCATGATTCCTTTGACACACCAATTTCAGGTCTTACAGTCCCTATAAATGTGCTGATGAGTGGAATAGGGTGTTTAATTTAAGGAGACATGCAAAATGTGCAGTGTTTTGGCTACTCCAGAAATGCATGAACGTGGTTGGAAATCATTGTGTTAGAGTCCTTAACAAAACAAAGAAATGTGATCATAATTACATATTAATATAACTGCCTATTAAGTTTTGTATACATTTCAAAATTCAGCTAATTACATACAGAGCTTTAAATGGTTTGAGTCCTCAGTACCTAAGTGAACTAATATCACATTATAGCCCATAAAAATACTTAGCAGAATACCCAGAGACAGGGTAGGATGCAATCCTCACACTTCCTCAGTCCGCCAACCCACATTGCTGGATCTACTGGTACCAAATACAGAACTGAATTCCTCAACAGCTCTGCTTTGTTATCACCGATCCAACTCTCATTAGATGATGACAGGCCCTTTGGAAAAGTTGGAGTATTAAAGAACTTGGAGACATCAATTTGGACATTTAAAAGAATAAAATGTTTTTATGTATCATATATTGTTTAACCATTCACCTTTTGGCAACATTAAAAATTGTAAAACTAGCCAGAAACACCTAAAATCATGCCACCAACATACTAGAACATGCCAACCACACGTGGATACCTACTAAGGTTTGATATTGTTCATCTGATATGGTTCCTTGAGTTCTAATGGGATCTGAGGTAATCTAATGAAGTCTCTGATGTGGACTAATGAGGTCTGTGTGAGAACGCTAGTCGGATCTGAGAGGTAAGACCATGCCATGTGATTTTTTAGGGAGGACTTTGTTAAAAAAATATAAACTATGTTACATTCACTTTATTGTCAGCTCAGCTCCTAGAGGGCCACAGTCCTACAGAGTTCAGTTCCAACCCTGCTCCAACACTCATACCTGTAGTTCCCTTTCAAGGGAACTTTGAACTGCGTCCTCTAGGGTTCGCTATGGGGAACGCCTAGTCGTGACCCAGGTCTGAAGCATACATTTCTTCGTCTTCACTGACCGTTTTGTTTGAAGCGTGCATTTCCGTGGTAAGAGCGATCTATATTCCAATCGTTATGGCGAGCACTAGCAAAGCGGTTAGAGGGTGTGTGCATCCGTGTCGTCGTTATTTGACACCTGATGACACACACGATCTCTGCGTTGTTTGTTTGGGCAAAGAGCACGCACGCGATGTCCTTGAGGGGGCAGCTCATTGTGAGCGTATTTTAATGAAAAGCTCCGCTCTCGTTTGTCTCTCTTTTCGAGGAAAGGGGGGCAGCCATCTGCTTCCCGCGGCTCAGGACCCACCGCTGCTGAGGCACGGAGGAGGATGTGCTCGTGGGGATCGCAGGTGGATCCAGCTGATGAGTTTAAAAAGGGGTTTTCCCCCTCGCGCTCGTCGGCTGTGGACGAGAGTAAGCTGCTGAAAGATGATGTTATTTCTTTAACATCGTTTGATCCGGGGCCCGGTGCTCTGCTGGGTTCGGCCCGGTAAGAGCAGGAGATGTCTGAGGACGGCGAAGAAGCTGAGGCTGAGCCTTCCCAATCCTCCTGCTCTGCGTATGGTGAGTTTTGAGCGTTATCTTTCTTACGCATTCATCGATTCTAGCATACGAGTTATACCAACATCGAGGCGATGCACGGAAACGACTATGAGAGGATGCTCCTGGAAAAAAAGATGACTGGCTAGCTATCTTTCTATGGGTGAGACGTCCTCTCTTAAAACTCCCTCCTTGCCATCTCGCTTAGATGGCAGGGCATACGCAGCAGCAGGTCAGGC